GTGCCAGATTACTCAAAACTTAGAAAAGAATAATTGAAAATTTAAATGTAAAGTTCCATCATATTTCATTAAAAAATGATTATAAGATATATGTGCCTTGTGATTAGTAAAGGAATAAGACTTCAATAATCTATTCAAAGCATTTGTAGGATGATGCATTTTATGGAGCCCTTATACAGTTTCAAGAAAGTTGGTTGTTATATTTATTTGGAGAGAATATATCACACCAAATTAAAATAAATTTATCATGAGTATCTGAAGTTTATTCAATCATTTTTATCTATTGGAGATAAAACCTTATTAAAATAAGCTAATATTGCTATAAAACCTATATAAATAAAGCAAATTTTTAAAAATTTTATAGCTTTTTCCCTTGTTTTATACATGGTATAAAGAAATGAACTAAAAATACTTCATTTGCTTTTTCTGAAATTGTTTTTACAAAAGCTAATGAAAGTTTCTCCCTATACAGCAATATCATTAATAATATCCCACCTCCTTGATAGCTTCAAGAGATAAACACTGTGCTTTAAAAGTTATTTGAATGATTAAACAGAATATTAAAATATGCTTCAAAGTTATATTAATCGATTAGATCATTCTTAAATATGTACATACTCGCTATATTCTTTAGATCCTTTGCTATTTTGAACTCATGAGATTAGAAATTATTAAAACTTTAGTTACCGTTAATTTTCTTCCCACAAGCCATCCACAACTTATCACGAAGAAAATAGATTTAGTGGAACCAGCAAAGCAAACCTTTCCTACTGTAAGGAAGAGACCGTCTTCAAACAAAGAGCAATTTATATGAATATTTTAAGAAAATAATTGTGATGATCATCAATGTGGCATTCTAGATTCTTCACTCTTAAGAGCTTTCGGTCTTCAAGGGTGCCCAGGCATTGACTGATTAATTTATCTTTGCAACACTGCTGAGATAGAAACAAGTTAAAGAGAAGAATGTTTAAGATTATAATTTTGTGTTATTAAAACAGAATTAACAGCATTCATAATAACTAGTCTAATAATGAATAGCAATAGGCATCATTACAAATGTATAAAAGGAGAGAGCAAAGATGTGGACACATACAGAGATCGAGGTGTCTGTTTTTGAACACGGCTGATAGCCTTTTGCCAACAGAAACTTCACAAGGCATGTTTTCCAAAAGCATCCTGTGTTTTAAAGGCTGTAGTCACATATGGCTGTAACTCCTGTAAATTTATCCCAAGCCACCTGGACTCTCTATACTTCTATCATCTCTTCAAAGCTTGTTTACTAAATTTATCTTCCACCGTGTGACTAAGTCATGCTTCTTTTGCTTGGGTCAAAATTACCGTTCTCCCTCCTTTCCAATAGTCAACTCTCTTGTGGAGTCTAGGAGAGCAGTTAGCAAGTTTACTTGCTTTATGTCTCTCATGATTTTTAAACTTCACTTCAAAGCGCTGAGTGTTAAATTCTTATTTATTTTTTGGTGCTCAAGATTGGATTAAGGGCCTCATGCTTGCTTCACTTTTGATCTTTTATTTTGCATTTGGCTCAAACTCTTAATTCATTTGGGTCTCCACATGACCATTTTCCTGAGCTCTGTTTTCTTTAACATTAAATATTTTAAGGCATGAGATCCAAGATAGTAAACTATCCTTGACGTGATAGAGTAATTATACCATGTTCTTAGTATGGTTTTTTGTTTGTTTACAATTGCTTTTTGTGACAATGTCCAGGGTTCTGTTAACCTGGACATTGAGTTCTTCATTTCCTAGACATTTTGGAGTCATTTAAAAATTATTTTTACTGCACAGTTAAATGGGCATAACTTATTAGCGACACAGCAAGTTTTCCCTCACCTAAACAAAATAGCTTTTTCCTGTGTTCTTTTTCTCATTTGGTGGCACTGGAGCTCACCCTTCGCCCATATGGAAATCTGTGCTTTATTCTAGATTCTCCTCCCCAGCTCAATCACAAAGTATTTCCAGCTTTACTTTATAGATTTTAACTCTTCACTTCCACTCCCCTGCCTCAAAATCTTCATGGCAAATTTTCCATGTTTTCTCTAAAGTCGATTGCAGTACCTGGTGGTATGGGTAGGGCATTGTCTTTCTCTAGATGCCCCCTTGTCCTGGGTGGTTGTATGGTTTATGCCCACTGATGCTTTCCCTGCCACTGCCAGGACTGAGTGGAACCTGCGCCCTGTCCTACTCAAAGTGGCTGATTTAGTACCTCGTGAATACAAGCTGATGTGCCAATAATTGTTGATTGGCTAAACAAATACAACTATCCTTCAGCTCCTTCTAACATCTGTTTGGCATCCCATCCAGAGATGAAATAAAAATCCAGTTATTCAAGGGAAATTATATTGAATATATAAACATTAATATATTAAAGTTTCCAAGTGCTCTGTAACATTGTAGAGGTTATTTTTCTTTATGCTTTAGTATCTGTTTGTATGTATGTTCAAGGCAGGATTATAATAACTTTCCAAGATCTGCCTTTAAATGTGATTCCTCACTGTGTTTTAATATCTCGCTAACTAAGAGGACTGCCTTTATCATCACTCAAATCTGAGTTCAAATTCTAGTTTTCCACTTGGGTTGTTCTTAATCACTGGTTCTGAATAATTTTCACTTGGAAGTAGCTACAAGCCTTAGGCAGCTGTGTGTGTGTGTGCATGTCTGTGTCTGTGTGTGTAGTAGAAAAATATGGAAACCGTGACTGATCAAGATTGAGATACTACTGATCTGGCCCGAAGGGATGTCACCTATGAATACAACAGCCAAAATTAAGAGGAGCAGGTTCCTCAAACTAAAAGATACTCTTTCTGTCTTGTTAGATCAGGGAGCATAAGCGGAAAGTTTTGAAGTAGCAGAGACTAATTAGTGTTTGGCCTTAGAATTCTTTTTTATTTTTATGTTGGCATTATTTCTAGGGACGTTCGGAGTCTACACTGAGTGACTGAAATGAAGAAGTGATATTCTAGATAGTATGATTCAAGGGGAACTAGAGCCAAGACCTTATGAGCAAGTTATTGCAAAACTAGTGACCTACATTTAGGGGAAAGTGTCAGTAGTGACTGACAGAAATGCATGAATTTCATAGATATTTAGAAGATAGTATCTTCCTGAGTTACAAGCACTATTTTGTATCAGGGTGTAGCAGGTCACAGTGATAAGGTAAACCAGTCCTTCAAATAGGGGAGCATTTCCATCCTGATGTTGCTCTTCAGAATGATGTATTGGTAAATTTTCTTTGAGAACCTGTTTGTTTCTCATAAAAAGTCTTTTTGTTACATGTGTATTTATGTGTTTTCATCTAACTCCAAACCTATTTAAATGTTGCAGTGGCTGAGAGAATGGTATCCCTATACTTCATCTTCAATGGTAATAGATAGTTTCATGGTGATATATGTTTAAAACAGTTTCTGGAAGTGGGAATGTTTGATGGTGTAAATTTTACCAGTTTATGGATAAGCATGAAAACAATTCGAATGATAGAAAATTCACTACAGCAAGTGCCTTTGTGAAATTATTTTGACATCGTTTCTGAGATGAATGTATTTTGTCTTTGCAGCTTTCATCTTAGAGCTATTAGTGACCACTCATTTCAAATAGTGTGGTGAAAATTCTTTCTTTGTTCAAACGATGAGAAATCTTTTATGAAGATCTGGCTTTCATTAAAAAGGAACAAGACCTGATTAAAAACCACTGTAAATTTTGAATGATTAATTTCACGCCAAAGAAGTCATTAGAAATTTCTTATAGGTACAAAAAAGCAATCATTTGCAAAATTGCAAAAAGCTAATTTCCAATGAATATACTTCTGTATTTTCTGTTACATTTGTATACTGGGAAGATATAATATAGAAATTGCAGAATTTTAACTTAATAGGCCTTTACTATAGGTATCTTTTAAGTGGAACTGGGCTTGAAACCAGTTAATTACTTTTTATTTGGCTTGTTTTATTTCATTTGATCATATTTGTCATAACAATGTTTTTCTTGTTTCTTGTCTGGCATTAATTTATCAATTTCATATTTCAAGCATACGAAATAGCTAGGATTTTTTGTTTCTCTTGTGTTTTAAATTTTTTGTATTTTTGAAAATATGAACATGTATGTGTGCATGTATGTGTTCTTTTTTACATATTACAAGCCAAAACCTGAGACTTCTTTGCAAAAAGGGAACAATTTGTGAACTTTCTATATGTCCAAGTAAAAGTAGCTCTCTAGTAGACTATGTTACTTATCTTATAGCTCTGTGCTTTAAAAAATGGACATACTATGCTTAATCTGAAAAGCTTATTGCATCAAAAATGTCTTCAATTCTAGATATGTAGGTTCAAATATATTCTTCTGTGCTAATATCTTTCGTTATGAAATGTATAAGAAAAAAATTGAACAGGCAGTAACGTAAAATAGAACCTATTGATTTTAGTTCAGTAAATCTTGCACATATAACTTGCTCCAGTATTTTGGAGGAACTAGTTAAACTACAAAGTGGGCCAGCATAACTGACTCATCAGGATGATAGGGAAGCTAAAATGCAGTAATATGCTTGCTTTTACGCTGGTCATTGTGTCACATATTGTGATCCCAGCCACTTGGGAGACTGAGAGAGAAAATCACAAGTTTAAAGCCAGCCAGGGCAAGCTAAGAGACATTGTCTCAAGAGTAAAATAAAAATGACTGGGCATATAGCTCAGTGACCACTGGGTTCAATCCTTGATATCGAAACAAGCAAATAAACAACAAACTTTTCAGATAGTCTTCGTAAGTTCGGAACAGATCAACAAACCATAACAGCCTGAACTTGTTCTTTCTATAAACTTCAAACATTTAATTATCAGGAAAAATATTCTTGAGTACCAATCAAGGATTCAGTTTATAAATGTCAACTACAATAACAATGGGGTAAAGTAGAAGCATCTTTTTTTAAGTGTAAGACTCTTCATTTTATATTTATTTTGCACATTATTGATTTTCTTCTCTGGTGTTCTTTGCAGAGAGTGAATTTGTCCTTCGATTTTCCATTTTATGGCCATTTCCTACGTGAAATCACTGTGGCTACTGGGGGTAAGTGTTTTTCTATCCATTCACTTTACATAATCTACAGTTTCACTGCAGTTATTATTTTTAATTTACTCCATATTTCAAGAGAAATATATTGTGAGAATCATTGTGTTCTAGCACAAAATCGTGAGTACAGACAAAGTGTAAGAAAGAGTATAGTTATTGGAAAAACTTTTCAGTACAAAAAAATACAGCTATCATAATTTCAGCTTAGATTCACCTCTGCTTCTTTGCTAAATTTTAATTCACTTTTTCGTAATATATATACACAAATGTCAGAAATTAGAATAGAAGTAAAAAGAAAAGGTGCTTAAGTAAGCTATTGGTGTATGCTTATATTAATGCATATATTTGATAGACATATAAATATATATATATATATACACACATCCATACACAGCCACATGCATATTACCTTAACTTATTTGTTTATTCCCTTTAATGTCCCCTATGTTGACTAAGAGTATTTCATCTGAGAGTATTGAAAGTAAACACTGAAAACCAGTTTGAATTTTTAAGATTTTGCTTTTCTTCACAAACATGGAGGTTAAAGATTAGCAGTATCCTAGCAAGGCAATTGTCGTTCTTCACAGAACACCCCAGAGGTTAGAAATATGTTAATCCTGAAGTGCTACTAACAAGAGATGAGCAAAATGCCACAGAATGTGCCCGTAGGTCTTACATAACAGGATGAGGAAAGTAGAAGAATAAATAAAAGAAAACAATGGAACAATAGAGAAAGAAGCAAGTGAAAAGTATCCATGGGTTTAATTAAAAGGTGTGACAGACCAGGGTCTCTTTCCTTCCCTTCATCTCATTCTTGGTCTACGGGATGAAATGGAAGCCATGTTGATCATTTTGCCCTATGTTAAGGTTTAGAAAATATGTAAGATTCTGCAGAAAAAAATCTGTAGTCAGAAATTTCAACAAAGTTTGCTGATCACTTTGAGATAAGGTGAATGAAGCTACTTGAGCTTTAGGAATGTGTAACTTTATAGAAGATTAGACAAAGTAAAGCAGAACGTGGAAACCACTTAGAAAATACAAAGGATGAAGTATGGATTTCCAGGATGATAAAACTCAAACATCTATGAAAAACATTTAAGATTTTCTGGAGAAATTATTGGTGTCACAGTTTCTGCAGTTTACAGAGAAGGAGGAAGAGTTTGGGAGGAACATCCGAAGTGAATACACAGTAGAGGAAGTGGGTAGAGAATGGGATAGTGAATAACTGAGTTTGAGTAGTCAGGGGTATGTTCACAGAAAATGGCATATTAGAATTTTAAGGTTAGAAAAGTAGTTTCAGACAATTTTACGTGATGCCTTCAGAGTCAGCTTCACTTTGAGTCATTAGTCCTTAAGCAAGTGATAAACTTCAGCAGACTGAATCTAGACATTTGTGTAATGTCTTAAATTGTAGGAACATTGGGCTTAGCACCCTGACTTAGAAGAATATTGCAGGGTTTTATATGAGAGGGTTTGGTGATTCTGTAGCTGTTTGCACCAGTTGCAGAGTCAAGCAGAGGAGCCGATTTTATTGAAAGTTAATGACTTCACTTCTGAAATGACTAAATTTTATATGAAAAAGGACTAATGTAAATAAAATATAGAGGACTATGTCTTCTAAGTTCACTGTGCCACATATTTAACTAAAGTTGTTGAAGAGACTAAATGAAAAGCAGAAAGGTAGAATTGAAAGTTGACTCCAATAAGCCATGAATCACCTCGAAATTGCTCATGTCTCTAAAATGCAATATAAATATGGTGAGCTTATAATATGGATGTTCAGCATGTTTTCTCACGTTTAAGTTATGTGTTCCATTGAATTTGAAAAAGTGAATTCTTGATATGAGTTTAAAATCTGTGCACACAGTGGTAAACATATGGATAGCTTTGCATTTTCAATTTGTCGAATTGTTTTAACTTTAATCCTCATGTCAGTGACTCAACTGATATGAATTAAGCTTCCTCATAATAGAGTGGGTGGTAACAAACTTCAGCAGATGGCTGCATCATCTTTACTGCTTCAAAGTACCATTTTCCTCTAAAACAGCCTCAAAATAAGTGAAAAACCTGGTGTTTTGAATGATCCTTCTTCTTGGAAAAAAATACTAAAGCAAAGACAGTCTTTTGTTTTTGTTTTTTCTCTAATAAAATATGCTAGTATGGAACTTGCACATATTTAAAGAGGCATAACCAAGATAATTTAGACACTCGCCTGAATTATTTTCAAAATGCAACCAGACTCTGGTGTAAAAGTTTGAATAGCTTGCTTTCTCATTATTCATTCATGCAGTCAATATTGACTGCGTTCCTACCAAAGGCTCTATACAAGAAGCTTAAAAATTATAGTAAAAAGATAAGACATGCTTTCTATACAGGAGCTTAGAGTCTAAGAAGAAAAAGGGATATATTTTAAAAAACAGTAAGAGAGGGCCGGGGATTTAGCTCAGTGGCACTGCGCCTGCCTTGCAAGTGCAAGGTCCTGAGTTTGATCCCTGATACCCAAAAACAAACAAAAACAAAAACAAAACAAAACAAAAAAACCAGTAAGAGAATGTTGGTTGTAAGAGCTAAAGGGGTGGGAGGTTGCTCAAAAAGAATATTGTGTGGCCACTCATCAACAAGGTTTGTGAAAGATCTAATACTTGGCATTGACCTAAAAGAAGATAGAATTTTAGCTGGCAAAGAAACTATTTGGGAAAAGGTGAAGAAGGAAGAGAGGTTTCAGACAAGGAGGTGTTGAGCTCAATGACAGCACTGAGCCCATGTGTACATGTTCAGGGTCATGAAATCAATCTGTTTATCGGAAGTGGAAAGTTGGGATAAGAGTCCAGTAAAGGTGGCAAGAGTAAAGCAGGATAACTTGAACATCAGGAATTTGATGATATCCTCCAGGTGCTGGATTTCTTAGAGTAGATGCAGCCTGATCTGATAGTGAAAAGCAAGGTGGGATGAAAGGGTGAAGATAGAGAAAGCAGATAGGGTGTTTTTTAGGGCTTCTTCTTGGATTGTTAGAGCCTGAATTTAATAATGGGTGCAGTGGAAAAAGAGAGAAGGAGTCAGTGCAAGACTGAATTTGAGTGTTTTAAGCATTGTGGTTGAAAAGTTTTCCAGCTGCAAGGATCCATTAAGATTTATTTAAAAACAATCTAAGCTTAGAGGACTTCTGAACAACAGATTTGGTGGATCTCTTTTGTGATTGACTTAGGAACAGAACTATCTGACAAATACTCATCAATCTTATGGATCTTAAATTTGTGATGAACCATGGAAGACTTGGAAGAAAAATAGAAACTTTGGATTAAATGAAGTTAGATTAAATAAAGTTTAATGAAGTTCATTCCAAACAGGTAGAGGCTAGGGGTTTTAAATAGAATTGTATTGATTTCTATTTTATTGACTGTCAGGTCTCTTAGACTGTGCTTCTAGAAATTTCTCTTGAAGCCTTTTCTACACTGGATGTGGGGAAAATAACCAAGGGAAATGTTTTCATAGTGAATACAAGCTGTGCAACTAGATATTTTAAACCACGGACCTCTTTATTTTATTTCACTGCTTTACCAGTTCCCATGCCATCTTGAAACCTATCTTTCTCTATCCTCCACCCCACAGTGACACAAATTTAGTTAAAAATGAAGTTTACTTCAAGATAATGTCTTGTGTTATTGCTAGGACCACAATTTGATATAAAAATGTAGTGTAAAAATACAGACATCACTTTGGCCCATCTTTGTATTTTATATATACTTCATATAAATTTAAGTTTCTACATAAAAATATGAGTAAAATCTAAAATCAGCTTATTTATATACTACAAAAATAAAATCTTTGCCTATTAAGCATTTTAATATTCAAAAGCTTCAATCATCCATACAAATAATGCATAAAATGGATTCAAAATATCATCTAATTTTCTAGTTCACTGATAGCAGATTCTGAAAACATTTACTTATCTTTCCATTTAAAAAATACTTCAAAATACACATATATTGAGTATTACAAAATTAGTCCTCTATGCAGTTCATAAAAGTATTTCCATTAATAGTGTCTCTAAGATGTGTTGTTTGCTTAAGCCTCTGCTTTCTTGCTTTCTGTATGAGTACCTAAATTGGTTCTTTTTTATTATTAGGCTGCTAATGTCATCTTTTAAGTTCTTCAAAATGTACAGCTGACTTTGAGAATTTGAGTTTTAATTCCTGTGGCCATCAGTAATAATATTTTTATCTAAATCCATCAGGGGTACACATGACTTTGAGGGATTCGGGATGGGGAGGTGGGTTACTTGCTGCATTATATGATAGGAAAGAGAAGAGAGCACAGAGGAGGCCACCAGGTCAGCGTGCCATAGCTACCAGCCCAGAGGACATTTTCGGTCTGTGTGCCATGGCTCCCAAGCCAGAGGAGACTTCCAGGCTCCCAGCTTACAGGACCCTTCCGGGTGGGCGTGCTGTGGCTCCAAGCAGAGGAGGTGAACCGCGCAGGAGCCAGGAACACAGCAACCCCACCCCACCCCACCACCCTCCACCCCTGTCAAAATGAGAACCAGACTTGCACATCACCTACAGCAGCCCCAAAGGGAAACAAGATGGAACACTCTGATACTCAACCACCTGGACTCCCTGAACTAGCAAAGAAAGAGGATCTGGAAAAAGTGAAATCAGAAATAATTTCTCACATAACAGCACAGATTTTGCCCATAATGCAAGACATGATTAATAAATCTAGAGAAGATACAGATAAAAAAAAAAATAGAGGAGCTGAGGAACATGATGGAATCCCAACATAGGAAACAAACTGAATCCATGAATCAGATGCAAACAGATTTCTAGGAGATTAAAAAATCCATTGAAAGTCTATGCAGCAGAATGAGGCAATGTGAGGATGGAATTTCAGATATAGAAGGTAAGATTGCAATTAGTGACCAGGAAAAGAAAAAATTCTTTAAAATTGTAAAGGACCATGAGAAATCAATCCAGCAGCTGCTAGATGGTGCAAAGAAA